GGCCATCATGCATCTGTTGCATCACAGAGGCACGGTACAGGTGGGGCAGCAGGATCTGGGGGTAGAACACTTGACCTTCTGTGCAGTAGAATTTCCTCAGCAAGACTCCATCCTTCCAATAGAGTCGTTTCCATTGTGCCCAGTATGCTTTGGTAGCTGGGCTGCAGGGTGCTACGTCAGTCCACAATGGTCGGTCTCCTGCGTCCATCCACTTCCTCACTGGAGATATATCTGGGTCAGTTAGTTGGGCATTGAACAACTGTTCTTGGGTCCAGCCGCAGAACAGGTTAGCGTGACGTGGCTCACTCACCCTGTGGATGCTTGGACGGTTGGGAGTATAACCACAGCTGTCGTCGCTGGAGGTGTTCTCTACCCCCACTGGAGGAAACTCTGGCTTCGATGTTAAACGGCCCCCACAGCAGTCATCAAGCTCCACTACCCCCACTGGAGGTGGCTCTGCAGATGTCTCCATGGCAGCTTCTTCAGCTGGAACGTCATCTAGGCTGTACTGCACCGCCTTATGCTGACACTGGACACTTAGATTAGGCTCTGGCACCGTACATGGACACGACTCACGGCACGGCCTCCTGGAAAGTGCGTCCGCATTTTGGTCGTGTCTCCCGGGGCGATGGATAACCTGGAAATCGTACTCTCCAGTTTCTCTAAACAGTGGGCAAGCTGGCCCTCTGGCTCTCTCAGTCTAGTCAACCAGCGCAGGCTGCTGTGGTCTGTCCGGAGGGTAAACGGCCTTCCTAGCAGATATTGCCTGAAGTGGGAGGTGAACTCCACCGCTGCCAGGAGCTCGCGTCTGGTGGTGCAGTAATTTTGCTCTGTAGCTGACAGCGCGTCGGGTCCTGGGTGTGCGGTGATTTTTTCTGCTGGTACAGGTGACAGGCCCGCGGTGCTGTCGCCAGTGGCTAGAAGCCCGTTCCTCACCCCTTGTGTTTGGGGAGGAACTGCTCCCATTCCCCAATCAATGCGCGACGTGTCAGAAACAACTCACCGGCTTTTCGAGGGGCGTAGTCGCCGCACAGGGCGGGGGCCACGGTTGGTTGTCAACCGGCTGTTTCAGTGCCTCGCAAACTGCGGCTGACAACTCCTCGGCATTCAGGCACGCGTCCGTCGAAGGACGTGCGCACAATTATTTCTTGGTGGTTGGATGGGGAGCGTGTTGGCAAGTGTGCAAGACAATGCATTCGTCGCGCCTCCGTCTACAGTTCCAATTAGGACAGACACAATGGCCCTACCTTCAAACCAACTGGACAAAATAGCCTGCTGATGGATGGGTTTCGGGGAAACGCTTGGACTCCATCTTAAACCACTTTTTACTTGTGGTCTTCATTTGACGGTCTAAGCGTTATGCGTGTACACACTTTGGCAAGCAAATGAATGATATCGTTGCCCAGTAGGGCCCAGGCGCACGTTGCTCCGAGTGACAAGCACCTTGCAGGGGACATTAGAAGGGCTTACAAGCGTGTTGAGGTTGGCCTTTCACGTATGCCCCCTGCGCGAACACTTGAGCTGCAGGCTCCTGCTGGGGTCTTTCAGCTGCAGGTGGGATGGGTATATGGGCCCCGCGGTG